CCATTTTGGGAACCACAGTCCAGAACCTGTGTAAATCTTACAGGATGGGTAATAGCCGTACATTTCTTTGACAAGTTATGTCAACCAGATGACAATATAATGCTTGTGTTGTAGAGGTATTGGGTTAGTGTTTTTCCCTGGTTTAGAAGTGTTGTTTAATATTGTTGGTTTACTATTGCGGTGCTAATGTTCCTGTGTGTAGTACTTTTGATATGATTTGGTGTTTTTGTTATTACTGTAATATTTTCTTTATCAATAATCAAGCTGTGTATGTTTAAATTCCTGTTATATTATATTATTTTAAACCTACAGTTTATGGTGTGTGTTTCTTAGCTGACCTACCCCTCTCAAGCAGTAAGAAGTGGGTGTTGATAAATAATACGGATATTTTTTATTAATATTCATATTATTATTGTTATTCATATTATTAGTTAAAATCACCCCCATTTTTCTTACACCTCCACAAAGGTGTTAATGGGCTTTAATTTGCTAAGCAGGGGTACGCTTTGGGAGTAAACTTGCCACACCCTATCCACCTATTTCATGGGAAATAACTTCTATTAGACATAAGCCTGTATTCTTTAACATGTATTTTTTTTTTCATCTTTATTTTATATTTCCAGTTATGAGAATGACATACAATTTAACATGGATTTTGACTGCTAAATGGCGTAAAGGACTTGTGCTCTAAAGCAAACTATTTATTCTATACAAAGCAAAACCATTTAGTTCAGCCCCACTCCAATATTTTATTAGAGGTGCAGTGATGAGTTATATGTGTGCACATTTTTTATGACTCACATTGCAGGTTGTCTTCATTTTTTTTGAACGTATTATTAGGCCTGAATCCTATAAATTCAAAATGTTCTCCACATGAAACTCAGTCTGATTCTAGGGTCGAATTGTAAAGCAGGCTGTATACAGCTGTCCCCCTCCCTGTGATTCTGTGTAACACAATCACTAAACACCTCCAGCTCTGTCTTTGCACACAATACACTGTCCTGGGAGGGGGTGCCAGTATGAATACTAATGAATAGAGGGGTGGAGAGCTCAGCTGTAATATACACAGAATGCTTACAAAACACAGAGGCGGCCATTTCCATGAGAATGTGAATAGGACAGCTAACAAAAAAACGTAAGTTTCTGTGTTCATATACAGCAACTGCATATGCCTGCTTCATGTGCACTCAGTGTACAATGCTGGCATGTTTTTTTTTTAAATACCTCCGCAAAAGGTGGAAATGGCCTTTAAGTTAAAGTGTATCAACTTTTTTTAGGTTTGGATGTAGTATGGAAGGGTTAGGCCCCTTTCAGATGGGCACCTCCAGTTCTGCTCCACAGGGGATCCATGCACGGATCCCCTTCTGATGTCACTCCGTGTCACCCCAGTTTTTTCCTTCATCCTGCGGTGGAGAAAAAAAAAAGAAAATACCAGACCCATATTGGTCTATGGGGAATCAAATGTAAACGGACATGTCTCTGTTTACATCAGATTACCTCCAATCCAGCACGGTCAGCTCAGTCGAAACAGAACTCTGACCCATTGTTTTTTCAGGACCTGGCCGGAGCCGGGAATAACCAGTTGTAAACTGACATGTCCATTTAGATTCGGCTGCCTCTAGACTAACATTGGGCTTCTGATCAGGTCCGCCTGAAATACTGACAGACGGACCTTCTCGCAAAGGGCGTCTAAAAGGGGCCGTTGAACCCCTGTCTGATTTTTATTGCTATCTGTGTCCCTGCACAGGGAAGTACCTCCTTTGTATTTGTCCTGCTGGCTATTCTCACTGGGACAGAAAGTGATGGAAAATCCACAATTTTGAAACATCATCTGAACAGAGGAGGAGCGGGGGACCCCGAAAACCACGGCGGGGGGGAGGGCCGGACAGGATCGCTGCTGCTCCTTTCATACAAGTGATCTAATCAGATCACTTGTATAAAAACGAGCAGCAGCTGCACAATATACGTTTAGCTCTGCTTGTCCGGAGCAGGGCTAAATGTACAAAAAAGCTACTCGCCCGGTGCCCGAGACTGCCTGTCCCAGGCGATATGGATTCCACACCCCTGGGTACACTGTCAGCCCTGCCGCCTCAGCTCTCACACATTCGCTCCATAAGACGCACAGGCATTTTTGCCCACCTTTTGGGGGGGGAAAAGTGCGTCTTATGGAGCGAAAAATACGGTACATGTGTAGAAAGTGAACATAAGCTGAATATTATGCCTCTAATTTTTTTCTAAATCAACCCCAGAGTAATTCTGTATTCCATGGTACGACCTTATAGACTGATGTTCATGGTATCAACCAAAAGGGCCCAATGGATAGTCAGAGGGCTGCAAAATCCTATTACTGCCCAGCTTGATCATTTGTGTCAGTGTGAAGCAAACGTTACATTTTAACTGTGAAAATCTTTCTTTCCTCTATATAGTTATGTAAAGTTGATTTCCAGCCTTTCCTTCAGTCTTACGTGTATGTATGGGTGGGGACTTTAGAAATGTTTGTGTGTTTTTTAAAAATCTTTTTCATGTGTAACTTGACATTTTTTTCTTGCAACTTTTTATTTTCCCCCCTTAACTTTATTGCTATCACATAGGGGGATAAGAAACCCCCTATGTGATAGCAAAGAGATGTGACAGGTCCCCTTTATAGAGACATCAGGGGTCTCCAAGACCCCTAATGTCACATAGGGACCCCCAAAGAAGCTGATAAAGCAGAGATCTGCTTCATCAGCTTCTGAAGCTGGAGAATGACACAAGAATGCGGAAGTGATGTAATATACATCATTTCCGCATTCTGACACCGGAGGGAAATCGTATACCAATCTCCCTCTGATCCCCTGTCACAGAGCCACTATGCTAGTCCCAAACTCGCACCAGGCACAGCGGAGCCCCAGACCAGCGGAAAGGGGGCCGCAGAGAGGGGGTGGACACGGACCGGCAGCTTATACAAGCGATACTTTCCCGCTCACGCTTGTGGCTAAGTAGACGTTCAAAAACGCCCGCTCAGATCTAGGAAGCTCCTGTCCGTCCGCTTTTTTACAACGGCTGGCCGGGAGTCATTTAATGTAATATTTGCATTAGCATGTTGATGAAGGAGGAACAAGGGAAGGCAAAATATAAGATTAAAGTTCAACTTTAAAGGGAAATTCCATTTTCCCCGGTCAGTTTGGGAAAATTTTATCACCCCCCCCAATCTGGCTCCTTCTGCCCCTCCCCCCGCTATACTTACCTTTCGGCGAATGCTCCTTCGCATCTGCCGATGTACTATCCATACCCCGTACTGCCGTCTTGCACAATCCTGCGCTCTGGCTTTTAAATTTCGCTTGCAAATGGCGAGCACTCATTGGTCAGCACGGTCACCTGACCAATGAGACGCACTTCTAGCAATTAGTGCTCACCATTTGCAAGTGAAATTCAAAATCCAGAGCGCAGGGCTGCACTTGATGGCAGTATGGGGTACGGATAGTACAGCCGCACCGGCAGAGGGGAAGGAGCATTTGCCTAAAGGTAAGTATAGCGGGGGAGAGGGGGCCAGATTGGATTCCATTTTCCCAAATTCGCCTGGGAAAGCAGACATACCCTTTAATCTACCAATATGTTATTTTATAACTGCCTCAAGCAGCTCTGCTCTCCTGAGTGTACGTTTCACAGAAACTCGGGTCCATGATAAAAACATGTAATTTCAAGCCTGATGAAGGGGACCGTGTGGGGCCGAAACGTTACTATTTGTTTTGACATGATGGTGTGCTGGTGACATCTTAAACAAGTTTCAGTATTGGCGGCGCCATCCGTGGTCACTTCAAGCACCCACGCTGACAGTGATACCTGGTAAGGAGTGCAGCAGGATTCGGGAATACATGATAAAAACAAACACCATAAAATATGACAATCCATGCTCCTTATGTTCTGCTGTATGCAGGCTGAGCTGTAAAGCAGCATGATGTATCTCTAGAGGTGGTCAAAGATGCAGCTGCTCCTCCCCCCCCCCAATCAGAAGGAAAGCAGATAAACGTTTATTATTGACACACTGAATGTTCTGCTTTGTCAGCAGATCCAACTTCTATGATTATCAATATTGTTTTGGATCTTTCAGCACAAAATGCTGAGCAGACCGGATGACACAGATGACGTTGTGATCCAGTTCCTCTAGGATCAGGACAAAGATCCAAAGTGTGTTGGTCGCTGTCAGTGCCCCCCAGTACCTGTGATGGGCTGATGATCTGGCAATGTCCTAGGTGCAGATAACACTGACAAAACATATTTCCGCAGCTGTGGAGGCAGATGGCACCCTGATGTTACACTTGCTCTGATATTTGGGGGAAGAATAGTTTTGTGCTCCTGTACATACCCGCAGAATGGATCACTAAAGATCTGGGGAGGGGGGACCCCAGCACCAAAAATATTA